CTGCTGCGGCGGAAACCCTTTGCGACCAGCCGCCGCCGCCGCGGGGCCGCCGCCGTCGCTGTCGCCATCGCCGCTGTGCAGCGCCGCCGGCGTCGTCGCCTCGTTGCATCATCGCAGTCGCCGTGGTCGCCTCGTCGCCGTCGCCGTCGTCGCCGCCGGTCGCCTCGCGGCCATGAAGAGTCCCCACTCAAATCTGCATGCGCTGCGAATGGCATCTCGAGTGTACTGTCTCAGGGCCCGCTGAAAACGTGGGGCAGATGAGCAATGGATGGGGGGAAGGAGTGGAGCGCCGTCGAGAGAATCGCATTCTCCCTCATCAGATCGAGAGCGGGATAGTGGACAGGGAGGCCGAGACCGAGGCGAATCAGACGTGGGCGCGGGGGCGGCACAAGAGGTTGAGCAGACGAGGGCACTTAAGATAGTGAGCAATACTATCTGGGCAGCGAAAACACCCTAAGACGCATGTCCAACACTCCTCCGTCACGTGCAGACGGTCGGTCGTGGTCCACCCCCCAGCGACAGTCTTCAACCACGGCCAACGGACGAGCAGGGTATCGTGAGCCAGATCCCACCGCTCCAGCAGTCGTGTGGGGGTGGGCCAAGCTATGACCGCACGCGACGCCCAGTTAGGAGGTGGAGACGCTCGGGGAAAGCTTGTTTGGAAATGCACCTCAAGAACATGCTACGAATATTAAGCTTCTTGCCCAGAGCGAACGTTTCACGGGCGGCGACATGACATTTTCGCTGGGCAGCACCTGCTGTAAGGACTGAGCTGCTTCGACTTGAGCCAAACGGGCCAGTTGTCAAACAACATTGTTTTACAGACCCGCCGTTCAAACCAGCGCAGACCTCCTGGGCAACACGAGTTGTTCGGATGTCAGTGGAGGTCGCGCATGAGCACGGCACGGTGGAGGGAACCGTATTACTGTACAACTGTCGGTTTCAAATTCCAGCAAGGGGCGCACCACTGCTGCTTCACCAAAACCACCAGAGGCACGTGGTCCACATTCCCTCGGAACGGGTCGGCTGCAGCACGCATGCGACGAAAGAGAGGACCCCAGGCAGTGCTGAGCGTGAGCGAGGCAGACCGCCGCGCATTCACGACCGCAGAGCACGACATAGAGATGGGTGAGGGAGACGGGGGCCAAGTGGACAGGGAAAGGGCCTCGGAGAGGGCGAACGAGTTTTGGGGAAGGGTGTAGGGCCTTGTGCACACCCCACAGTTCACGGCGCTACGCTGCACTGCTTACAAAGTAAAATTAATTCATATACGAAAGGCATGTGATGACCACTGGATTGTAGAGCCTAGACGTGACATTTTCTGAGGCCTGGAGAAGGCCAAGCACCTTGCAGCGCTGGATATATTTCTGAGCGGGGCCATCCCCAAATTAGCTCGAGTGTGGCGCCTGGACCTATGGACGTTCCGGAGTACTTCGCATATTCACGGATGCAGAAGGTGGCCCAGGGAGGCGAGCACTCAGAGAGCATAAGTCGAATTCTGGACTCGGGAGCGCTGTCTTGCTGTTGCCACAGCGGGACTACCACACATTTACTTGGGTGCAATCTCAAGGTCGCCACGTGCTGGATACGTGTGAACAGGGGCTCGAGGACTTCGACCGATCGGGGCGACGTGAGAACAGCGCCAATGTCGTCAGCGCAGGCTCCCATCGTGCCGCTTTCAGGGGAGGAGAGGACTCGTGCGAGGAGGCGGAGGAAGGGGTCGAGTCCGAACGCCAACAGGGAGCCGCTAAGTGGGCAGCCCTCCTCCCTCCTCCCTCCTCTCTCCTCCCTCCTCCTCCCTCCCTCCTCCCCCCCCTTTTCCTCTTCCCGTGGGGGGCTCGGGGGGGGGGGAGCCGCTGGGGTGCCGGCGCGCTGGGGGGAGGACGCCACCGCCCGCGCGGCGCGTGGCCGAGTTCCGGCCGAACTCGGCCACGCGGGGCGCGACGGTAGCGCCCTGACGGTGCCGCGGAGGATGGTCGCCCTCCTCCCCCCCGCCCCTGCGCTCCGAGTTTTTCTTCGCATGGGGAGCCCAGGGTGGGAGATGGAGCAGTTGGAGGGGGCCGCCCCCCTCGCGACCACACAGACCCGCGGCTGAGGCGTTGCGGGGAGACCGGACGCGCCCATGAGCCACTCTGGAGCGGATGGGGGTCGAGAGCAGGGTCTCACCACCAACATGGATCCAACCGACCATCTAATCGCAGAGGGCTCAAATCACATATAAATAGCCAGCAGGGAGTGTCAGACGTTCCAGCACGCGGAAAATAAAGTTTCTGCTCAGGCGAGGAAGCGCCGAGACAAAGTCAAAACGGACAAACGCGGGGCACAAGTCGGCCGCGCGGGAGGCCAGCGAGGCTAGTCCGGCCTCGGCGCCCATGCAGACAATGCTTTTTGTGAAATTCTTGCCCGAGATGAAGACTTGCTAAGATGATTTGGCGCTCGCCTCAGCAACTGTTTTCAGGAAGCGGTTGACCGTACTGGCGATCGCCTTGGCGTCGGCATTCTTGAGGGCGAAGGGCCTGGTGCAGTCCAGTGCATCCGCGCTGCCAGGCTCCGCGTCGAATTTGGGCAGGAAGGCGAACAGATTGCCATCGATGCCAGCAGCCTTGGAGGATCCGTCGAACATTTTGGCGCGCGCGTTGTACATGGCCTCGGCCGAGGGGCGGCATAGGCGTCCACTGGTGGCCCGTCGGGGCCAGGCGCAGCGCGCCGCGCGCGGAAAAAGGCCCGGTGCACCTGCTCGCTCGTCGGCATGGGGAGTTCCCACTTCTCGCGCTGCACCGTAGGTACGTCCAAGAACTCATCAATCGTGGAGACGGCGACGCTCAAAGCGTCGATGCCGAGGAAGACAAGTGGCCAATGATCCGAGAGCGCCATAGCAATGCAGCCAGGCTCCCATTGCAACTGGGCCAGCAGGGCCAGCGCCACGCAGTTGGACGCCGTCCAGCGCGAGACGCTTGCGGAACGGAGCCCGCAGGCAGCCCGCTGCCGCGCCGCGTGCTCACGGCGAAGGAGAGCAGCCTCACGTTCAGGGGCATGGTTGCGCTGGGCGCGCTGGGCAGCCTGAAGGGCCTGATGCGCGTGCCATTGGCGGTTGAAGCGTTCGTGGGACGCAGCGAACTTCTCAGGTCCAATGAGAGAAAGTCGGTTCTCATCCATCAAAAGGATTTGCTGGCCAGGCTCAGTACGCATGAGAAGCGCGCGGGCAGACCAGACGTCCTGTCTCCAAATGCATCTCGCAATGCTCCGCATTGTCAGGCGCTTGGCTTCAAGGCGGGGCAGAGCACATCCATCGAGTGCTTGCGTCGATGCATCACGAGCGAAGAGTTCAGCAATCCTCGTCCTGCGCTTCATCAGGTGCGAGGGCCGACCGCTCGAGCTCCTCCATCAGAGCGTGCAGCATCTAGGCGTGCTGCTTGGATTTGAAGATGAACGTCGGAATGACTTGTTCTCGTTCAGCAACCCTCTATCTAGCTCGAATGCGCCGCGTGGTGATGAAGTGGTCGCTCAGCAGCCAGTCAGAATATTTTGCGGCCTCCCTGTGAACCTCGAAGTCACATATTACCTGCCCCATGCACTGCGCGGCGATGGATATGAATACTCTGTCGATGGTAATGACGGTTACCGTGTCCTCCGCAGAACGAAACGGTTGGTCACCGTGGATCTCCACCATGCCGTCATTGAGCGTCGCACACCATTGCGGAGGATGTTGGCGATATCATTCAGCAGTGCGCACCGCCTGGCCCGCGAGAGGATGCATGTACTCCGCTGTCGTTGTGGCATTGAGGTTGAAGTCCCCGATGGCAGCGAAGACGCTGTGTTCATGACCCTCATGGGCTCATCGGGCGGAAGCGTGCCACCCGTCAACCACGCAGTTAAGTTGTTCGCGACACAGATCACAAGCGCGGTGATTCACCCGGGATAGTGCGAACCCAGTGGAAGGATTACAAACCCACCCCAAGTGAACCCGACCATGGACCATAACTTCACGCGTGCACTGTGGCCGGTCGGTCGGTCAAGGCGATGCGTGCTAACGAGGAATGTGCAGCGGCAGGGATCAAAATGGCAATCCCCCAGAATTGGCCGTTGCTCTTGCGCAGCCCGAGTAGTATATGTCGTAGTTAACCTTGTAGTACTTCAGCGTCTCGCGCAGGAGCTGCTCAGAACCTCTGACCTCCTAGAGGGGGGCAATTGCCCGTCTGCGAAGAAAGGGGGGAATCTGACGAAACTTGCGATGGCGTAGATGTCGGTGTGTACATAGTCGCGATCTGGCATTCCAAGAGATGACCTCGAGGTCATTCACGTCGCGAACCTTTGCCGCATGATCCCACGGTGACCATCTCGTGCCAAAGATGCCGCCCGGTGGCATCTAATGAGCCAGGCGCGGCACCCTCGAATCCGTTGGCGAACATAGCTTTGATGCGCGCGATGTCGACGTTGAAGCGCTGGGCAACATTAGGGCCCCACGCGATCTGCGCGGGCCCGGAACTGCTTGCGCCAACCGCGAGCTCGCACGCGGGGATGGCCTCGGCGGTGACCAGCCCGCGGCCGCGCTGGCATCGCCAGGCGAGATCGGGTCTAGCCTCGCTGAACATGCCGTGGAGCCGCTGAGTCTGGTTCTCCCTGCTCGTGTATTTGGGGGACTTGTCGCCACTGATGTAGAGGGGCCTCGGGCGGCCGCTGACGTCAGAGATGGCGAATTCCCTCCCCTTGCCACCGGACTTCAGGGCCCGCGCAGGCGCTGCTGCGCCGCCCTCAATCTGGACGTTGACGCGGCGGTTCGAGGCGTCGACACAAACCATCTGCAGGGCTTCCAACGGGACAGCGGCCGCTTCGAACCACGGTGCCAGTGCAGTTCTGAGCGCGCGAGAGGTAAAGGTGCTGGGCGAGCCGCGCGCGAACGCTGTGGCGACTGAAGGCCCGCCCCACTCGGCGACCTGCTGGATGAAGCATGTGGGGGCGCGTGACTCGGCCATGGACAGCAGCTCCTCCATCTTGCACAG